ACGCAGTGATGAAAACAGACAGACAAGGATCCTTCCTTTTGAAGTTGGAGTGAAGTGAATTAGTGTGAATTAGAGTAGGATTGTGTCTCCCCTAGGCTGCCGATGAAGTTTTCAGATTCAGCGTGGTCTCTTCTGACTGTTTCAGTGGTGCATGAGGAATGAAGCAGTGCTGAAAGCAATCTCTCTCAGAACACTGGCTGCTTGATGCTGCTGTTTGGAGTTGGCCAGTGCCAGGACATGCAGAACAAGGCTGCAAACAAGCTGATCTATAGTAAGACAGAAATAGACTAACTCAGAGCTCAAAGGCAGGACTGAAGGATACAGTCCCAGAGATGACAGAGGGAAACCTTTCAGTGGTGGAGCTTCTAGAATTACGAGAGAGGGTCACGGTTTTGTATCACCAAGTAGTAGTCCAAACATCTAGCATACACCTCTACCATTTAAATGTAAGAATGTGTTAAGAATTGGTGGCCTCGATATTGCCCAACGCTTCTGTTCCCTGTGCCATGGAGATTGGTGCGTGGGCTTAACGAAGATTTGTTTATCATCTCCTCTGTCAAAGGTTTAAGAAGCAGTGACGTGAATCGAGAATGATAAGCAAAATCCCACAACTGAATGGCAATAAGAAATCATATAAGAATTATAAGAAGTCTTTTCATTTGTCACAGCTGAACAGCTTTCAGCTACTGTAGGTATACAGATTTGTCTTTTGTCCCAAAGACAAAGACCTATATTATTTTTTTTGTGCTTTCACTCTTCTCTTTTCAGCATGGAATAAACCTATTACTTAGGTTCCTTATTTTTTTAATAATGGTTCTTAATAACCAATAGAATTATTTATATTACTCATTATTTTAAATAACATGCATACATCCAACAATTCAAAAATATTAAAGTTTTGAATGTCAAAATATATTAAAATTCTTTAAAAATAAATATTCGGTCTCTGACCGCTCTTGAAATCTTTTTGACCTAACTTGGCAATATGAGAAAAGAGTCTGCAGCTGGATTTTATTTGACAGAATTATGGCTAATATGTAATTAGTAGTTACTAAGCAATATTATGAAAATCAGTTTCACTGGGTGACTACCAATACTTTGATAGTCTCACTGTAATTAGAATTGAATTACATAACTCGTCATTATATGGGTGTTAACGGTACTATAAAATAGAGTATTACCAAAATTTCAATTTACAAGACGTTATACAAGACAGTTTCTTCTTTACATTCAGCTCTCCTTGTCTCCTACCCGTTTAACCTGTTTGACAATCTATACAGCAGCAGCTCAGCTTTCAATTCATGCAGCAGAGGTAACATCCAAATGGCAGCTATTGGTTTTCCTTTCACATAAATGAGCAGGGACAGAAATGTCAGAACCATATTTGCTGCCTTAGAAGTTAAATATGTTCAAGCAATGCTTAAGGTTTACTATATTAAAAGACGTTACTGACATTCTGAAAAAACGTTCACAGTACTTAAAATCTATTTTTGTTTCACCGATACTAGGAATAACATAAAAATGATGGTTGTGAAAGGCATTTTCAAAACTCTATAGTTCAGTCTCAAATACCTAAAAGGACTTTCATTGTTATCCTTCTGTAAATTCATGAGAAAAGAACGTAATGCTGAAAAGCAGCTTTAGCCAAAAAAAGAGACGCAACAACTAACATACGTAACAACTCTCCCCTTTCAGCACTACATCTCTATACAGTATCACTGGGTCTCCACACTTATGGAGTATGCAGGTTTCTAGAAATTGTACTGCCTCATACTCGCAGTTAGCCTCTCAAAGGTGAAATATTCAAGCTGGTAAATGGTAAAGATGTACTCTCTGTTTGCATAGAGCAGGTTTGCATAATCTTCACCTCCTAGCCAAGTGAGACATTCTGTGTTGTCCTGTACATAACAGCTGACCTGCAGCACTGCAAACTGGAATACTACAGTTTGTTAGAAACCATGAGAGAGAGGTTCTGGAATAACCAGTAAAAAGCTCTGATGCAAGGATAACAATTACTACACACTAAAAAGGGAGGGACATCCTGTGGGCTCCACAGCCTTTGCCAAAAGCTATATCATATGTTTAAGTTAGAGAAAACACTGACGAGGCCTGTGTGCGAGGCGCAGTGATGATGGCTGCCATGTGACATTTGCATCACAACCCCTTCACTTGAGACAGCAGGAGCACTTTCACATCACAGTGTCAGGGACAACTGCATCATTTCCTCTCCGTCCAGATGAAATGGAATTGCCGGTGCACTTTTAAAATACAATCAGAATAAAATACCATCGGGGATGAAGAGGAATTTGTTACTTCGTTTAAATTCATTAGGGAACTTCCTGGAAAAACAAAAAACAAAGCAGCAGTGCTTTAGAATGATCTGTTCCGAGTCAACTTCGACTTGACTTTGATCCGCAAGCATTTCATTTCCTAAGCCCCGGCGTATTAATCTTAAAGCTGAGCTTAGATGTGGTGTTTTCTAACATGTCACCCTCTGTTGCAGAGGACTCTCTGTTTCTTTTCCATTACTAACATTGGAAGGGTTTTTATCTTAATAATCCCATCTGCTTTTCCCATTTTCTCTGAAAACCTACCAAGTGTGTAAAACTGCTGGCAAGTGTTTGAAAATATTTGTGTTCTTTTCTGGAACACATTACATGTTGGCAGTGGCTGAAATGTATGAGAAAGTGAGAAGGGTGTCATGAATTAACGTCAATTGTAAAGGACACTAGAATACAGACTGATGGGCATGGATGCTTAGAACTGATTAAAATTAAATCTATAATACTGATTTGAAGCAGCACTCACTATTGGTGAAACCATTCTTTTCCCATCAGAAAAAAATGGGATACCACAATGTTACGGCTGTCTAAAATAATGTCCATTAGCATGCATATGTAATCATCAAGATACAGTATCTACAAAATACACTGCATTACATTTTCAAAAAGACCACAATCCTTTCTTTATTCTTTAGGATTTATTTATGAACTGTTTTTCATTCGGGACAGAAAAAATGGGATTGTAAGTAATTTCCTTAACATAAGATTACAGGATGTGTGAGGAATTATTTTGCACTTTCTTCTGATAAATTGTGATCCTTATACTGTTTTTTATGTTGAAGAGAAGAGAGAAGACCTACTTAATCCATTGGTGAAGTGCTTCTCCCGTCTAGGTGATGTGTGGCAGCCATGATGTGCCAGCATCACCCCAATACAGCAGGTCAGGATGTTCAACATCTTGCATGATCATGGGTGGCAAAGTGAAATGACTCTCAGCCAAAATATAGTTCACAGTTTTTCCAGGACTACTACCTGCACAGCAGTTCAGAAGAACAGGAGACGAGTTTTAAGTGGCAACAATTTCAGGATTGATTTTTTTTTTGGGGGGTTGCATCTCTGGACAATATTACCTCCAGAATAAATTTCCCCATTTCTGTTTCCAGCCCAAAATGAGTTACCCATTAAGTATAATCATTGTCCTGCCAAAGCCTACATGGAAGACAGGGATCACTCTATTACAATGGTCCAGTACATATATACACATTTTCTGATCTAGGCTACTTTTTCCCCCAAAACGTTTTATTGTGCTTTAATCAAATTGTGACCTTTTATTTCAATAGGATAAATATAACGGTGTATGATATACAGCCAGGTAACTTGCTAATAAAGGTATTCTTCTACAAAAAAGGTATAGTACTGAGGTCTTTTGATCAATCTAAACGTATGCAGTTATACATCTCGCCTTAAAAAAAGTTTATAACAAAAGAATCTCCACTGTAAAGAACAAGCCTACATATGATTTAAAATTTTACCTAAGCAACAGCTTCCAAATTTTATTTTGACAGCCGGTTGTAGAAATATACTGTATTATGCACTGAATAACCAAGCGCATGCAGTACAATTTTTTATGTAGTAATTTAGCTCATAAACATTTTAGCACACAAACATAAAGGCCTAGTCTCCTTTAACTGTTGTCCAAATAAGGCTCTAATTCTGTTCAATATTATATTTCCTTTAAAGAATGCTAATTTAGAGTTTAGAATATAATAATACTGCAGATTCTGAATGTTCCCTTCTGGGAGTGAACTAAGATCATCCTTTTACAATTACAGTACTTTTTTACAGCAGCATACGCTACAAAATGTTTGTTTTTCTGAAACAATATTTAAATCCACCTGTGTTACACACAGAGCAGTGTACTCCTACCAACTCTTACTTCAGGAGGGGCTTTAGTGACTAGATATTATTTTATTTATGTGCGACGGTTCATGCTGTATCAGCAATTAATCAGGTAAAACGAATTAAAGAATTTTAATAGACTTTAATGTATTTTAATTCTTGGAAGGCATGTAGAAATGGAATTTGCAATACTAGCAATTTATAGCTATAATATAATGCCTTTTGGTAATAAAACACTGCCGTGTATGTTTGCTTAAGACAAGACAAGATTTCAGACCTACCAAAGCGCTAAGTTAAATAGCTGGACATATCCGCGAGAAAAGAGACTGAAGTAGACTGTTGGCGAAATTAAGCAAAAGTAAGGCAATCTGATTCTTTGATTCAGTAAAAAGCGCAAGGTCTTGGTTAACTTATCAGCAGAACCGGACATTTAATCTTGAAAACTCTCAAATTTATATTATATATCATTTGGTACAGGAAATGTCTGTCCAAAAAGTGGTAAGGTCAATAGCAAGGCCAAAAGGGCTGGATATCAAAATATTAATTCACGCGAATCTTTAAATATTAGCGGTTCTGTGCTGCTGAAGCACCGTACTAATTATTTGTAGCTACCACTGGGCTCGCAGAGATTAAACGCGTAGAAAGCCGCGCTGACTTTGGGATACGTACACTGGAATGTTCAATATTTGTTAACTTTCGAGTTAACTCGTCCACTTTTTTTCGGAACAAAAGCAATGACTTCAGGGTGGGATTTAAGCCTATGTAAACAACTCTGGATATCCACCGCAGGGTCGGCAATTGCTGGCACAGCTGCCTTACCAGTGCTGGCTCCAGCCAGCGTCTGCCGCTCTTCTGGAGAGCCGGAGAAGGAATCCGTCTTCTCGGGAGATGCGGACTCGAAGCGGCTGGGTGAAGCGGTGGTGTGGCTCCCCACGTCCGAAGGCAAAACCGTGGATTCTCGGAAACCAGTGGCATTGGTAGTAAAATCGGTGGATTCCCCGGTTGTAATCCAGTCCGGATCGGTTCTCGCGGTATACGACCCAGCACAGAGACATTTAAAAACGCTCAGCACCATCACCAGGAGAGTGGCTGCGTTGATCCAAGTGCACGTTGCCATGATGCTGAAGAGCAGGGCAGTTGCGGAGGTTTAAACCCAAATAAATAATTCTTCGGATTGCGGGGGACAAACATTAAAATCACGTCCCATTTCGACCGTTCCTCAGTTAAAGAGGCCAGCTCCAATCCTCTGACTCCATTGTAACAAGTAACGGTACCTCATTTCAGAGTGACCGCTGTGACTGAAACAGAAGCACAAATTACATCCGAACACGCTGACTCCTCCTACAGACATTAGTGATAGCAGCTACCAGCCCTTTTCATCTGAGGTCGGGATATCCTATGTGTGTGAGCTCGATAGCTGTCATTTTGTAACATGTGATTACCAAATGGTTTTTTGGATTCACGCAAAACTAAGAAATGCAATATTGTTGTTTTTTTAGAAATTCATGAAGAAGTTCCTTCTCAATCACAGAATAAAATAGATTTTTTCTTTTTTTTCCCCCTACTAAAACACCGGATTACTCTCTTTCACACTCCGTAGCAAGAGGACTGAGACTAAATTTTAGTTTGAGTGTTGAGACATCAAAGGAAATCTTTTTGTCTATGCAGGACGAGTTTGGGGAAATTAGATGCAAGAGCTAACATATGTCAAATATTGCTCACGGTAAATGAGATTTTGGCACTAACAAAGGGGTCTCTTTTCACCTTCCCAAATCAT